GCATGCCAATAGGTCTTCCGTGTTCTGCAAACCATTCATTTGCAATGGACCTGGTAGTGGAGAAACGGTCCCTTAAGGCCAATAATCTTAAGCGGCGATCTTCACGGTCTGTTGTTCTACGGCGGCGTCCAGTGCCCCTTGCTCTTTGCGTACGGCCTTCTCGAAGCCATGCCTGACAACACCTAACCACAGTGTCTACACTTCTTTGCACTCTAACTGCAATTGCCCGAAAAGAAAGTCCAGCTTCCCGAAGTCCCACTATACGGCTCCTATCAAACTCACTAAATAGACGAAATCGTACAGGTCTCCGTACTCTAGGCATCGTAACCGATCGTAAAGGATGTCGTTGATTCTTTACTGCGGCTGAAATATTCATTTTTAGAGCGTTAGTGAATTAAAAAAAGCAGTATAAAAACCGGAATGTCCAACTGATAAGGCTGAAAATTTTTTCACTTATTATTTACAGTAAGATAAATACATTCACCAACTTTTATTAAAATAAAACCATTTAAACTGGGTGTTCGGATTTATATGTCAGTACAGTTTGTTATTAACGTTCAACGGTCGGGCGACAGCGTTCTTTGACGATGGGATCTAAAAGTTGGCACCACGACTTGACAAATGTTTAAATGTTTATGCTGACTATATTGAAAAATGAAAAAAATGTTTTTATTTTGGAATGTGATACAATTTACGTACACAAAATAAAGTGTCACTGACTCCATTACAAAACAGTTCTTACTTAAAAAATGTCTATCCTATTGTTGCTTGTCTGTAGAACCAGTAGCCACAGCCATAACCTACAACCCACCAGGAGCCACCGGAGCTGCGCCGTTTTGCCGCGACCAGCATGTATCGTTTATCTGCTAAGGTCAAAAACAGTAACCTGGATTTTTTCCAGTACTTCTTTTCAACGTCGCCGTTGGTTACGTACCTAGTAAATGATTACTTTTGACCTAACAAAACTTTAAACAACCTATGAAAATATGACCTGAGATAATTGAAATATTCTTCTTTAGACATTTAAACATTTTTAGAGGTATATTTTCTTCAAATTCCAAAGTACATTTCCGCTTATTGCTGAGGGCACATACAGTTCTCGTGTATCTGATATTTAAAATAGTTTTCACTATTACATGGGAAGCACTGAACCAGTCTGCAACGAAAAACATTTTATTTAGGGATTTCGGATGTTTACTATTTAACTGTTGCCTTCCATTTTGTCTAATATTAATAATTAAAGCAAACTCTAAACTGGTTCAGTCTTCCATGAAAACGAATACCATAAGCCCAGTAGCCCTATTTCGCATAGCACATGGGCGAAAAACTCATTAATCACGCCCACTGTCACTAGAAACACACGTTATTTCAACATCAATTCGAACTCATTATATGGTAAACAGCAGAGGACGGACGCACTTTGCTAACAGCCATAGTATACAGACTGCAAATACTAGGGTCGATCAAATTCTTCCTCCAGTCCGTTGCGCCTGCGACCTCTTTGCCGAGTCCATCCTTCGCAGAAAAAAATTCAGAAAGAAATCGGCTTCCTTCACCAGGAAACTGAATTTGAGTCACGGCAAGAAAGTTTGCGAATGGAACATGCGGACACCGTTACATCACGAGCTCTTAAAACCGATTGAAAAGCTGATTTCGGAGAGTAATTAAATGAATTTGAGACAATCAAAGAAAAATGACGGCGACGTTTAATAGAAAGAAAAACATACTACTGCATAATGTCAGAACACATACTGCTTTGGAAACCGGTCAAAAACAGAACTTGGCCGGGAAATTTCAAGACATCCTCCATATTTTTCAGTCCTAGTACCCTCCGACTATTACCATTTTTGACCTTAAAGGATTTTCTGCAGTATGAAATTATAAATCCTAGATATAAAACGGACCATATACATTGCTTTTCAAAAGGGTTCCCTTTTACTTATTTTCTGAACGGGTCAAGTTAGCAAGCTGAAATTCGGGATGACTAATTTTTCTTTGTACTCAAACCACCACGAAGACCTAAGGGCTAAACACCCACGAGTACCGTGGGGCTATAGGGGAATACAGGGGAAAGGAGGGACGCCACGCGGACTCTAGCAAGGGAACACATGTACATGAAAGATGCACGCATTCGGATCCCGCGTTAGAGATCCACCGGGTGGTACCTCAGCGTTCCCCAACGTTTTTATATGAACTGGAATTGATACCTCTTTTTGAAGCCCTTTATAACCATAGGAAATAAAATCATCAGCCTTGAAAATATTGAATTGAGAGGCTGTCAAATAAGCACGTTTCTTGTACAATTGTAGATCAACAACAAACCATCAGAATGTTATAGTATATTAGGTAGACCATTCCAAGGAAATAAAATTGATATAACTTAGTATAACGTCTTGATGATTGGTTATTGAGTTATGAACGATTCAATGTACAAAAACGCTCCACTTTGACAGACTGCCAGTCCACCATTTTGAAAATGATTTTGTATTCTAGGGTAACCATTTAAAACAATGTACCATAACTACTGCCATCTTGAAATTTTGCAACTTCCATTTTTATGTTAAAATATAGCTTCTATGAATCAGTTTCGTTACCCGGAACTTCAACTTGCCAACTTGATCAGTTCAAACAGTAAGAGGAGGGAGGGCCTTTTGAAAAGCACTGTATAAGTCCGAACATAAAAGGTTTTTCAGCGAGTGATTCTACTACTGATTTGTCTGTATACTCTTTGCTAACAGCTCCCGACGTAATACGTTCCGTAATTTAATAGTCACATGTAGAATAATATCATTTGTTTTCAAATTTATTTCTATGGCAGCATTCGGACAATTTATTGGGACTGTTTTGACAGTAATGCCAGTGGATGGACCCGTATTTCATTTTAATTATTTGGATACGTAGACAGTAGTAGGAGAATGTTCTTGTTCTGCGGCATCGAAATGTGACAGCAGCGATCTATGATTACGGAAATATGGCACCACATTTGGTTTTGACAATTAGCAAATTAATACTCGCGATATATTGAGGAACGCATTTCGTCAGAAAGTTAGTCGTATATTATATATTTGTCGTTTGTTTCATGTACACGTCTAAGTTTTGATATGTAAACACAACGACTGTACTCAATGTACTCACTCAAATTGCAGTTAAGTCATCGGGTGGTATTAATAAAGTTAAGCACCTGCTTTTTATGTGAAATTTTGGAGTACGTACTTCACTTGATATGAATAAAATGATGAAGAAGGTGCTCAAGTAAGAAGCACCTACTATCTTTGTAAGTATGTTCTTAAAAGTGAGTATCTGCTTAAGTTTCGGTATGAATAAAAATGAGCATGTGCTAACGAGATGAAGCAGCTACTCAAATAATTTTTAGTTATCTGGATAGGATGCTCAGCATCGGTAACAAACGTACTGTCAGACTCGATGGCTGAATTTATGCCTATTCATCGTGCCAGAAAGCATTATAAAGTTCGGAGAGAATCTCGGAATGTAGACTATCGGGTTTTATATAATGGGTGACTCAAATTGAGTTTCCACATTACAAATAATTTTTTTTTAAAACGCCACTGAATTTGTCAACGACAATGTGCCATTTCTAACGTCAAAATATAAACAAAACAGTCATGAAGCAATATGCGACCGAACAACGTGTTAAAATTATCCAAGCCTATAATGAAAACGGCCGATCAAGGAAGTAATACATTTCGTGCTTTACGTGAATTTTTTAGCGCACAAAATCGGCCTTGTGAGAGGACAGTTTGGAATTTGGTGCAAAAATTCGAGCAAACTGGATCCGTCGCTAACACCAAAAGCCCTAGGCGTGCTCGTAGAGATCGGTCGGAACATAATATTGCTATTGTTGTTGAAAGTGTGGCCGAAAATCCAAGAACCTCGATTCGTCATCGATCGCAGCAACTGGACCTTATTTATTCCACTACACAGCGGATTTTAAAAAAAGATTTGAAGTTACACCCATACAGAGTCCAAATAATACAGGAATTGAAGCCTAGGTCACACATCAGGAGAAACGATACAATTACTGCGCGGCAAGTTTCCAGGTCGCGTTATTTCATGTAACGGCGATATCAATTGGCCGCCGCGATCCTGTCATTTAACTCCCTTGTATTATTTTCTTTGGGGGTATTTCAAGAGCAAAGTCTACAAGAATAACCCGAACACAATTGCGAAGCTGAAACAGGAGATCAGACGCGAAATTACCAACATAGGACCTCATTTGTGCCATGGAGTAGTCGAAAATTTCTCGAAACGGATTACGTCATGCCAAATGAGCCACGGCGGTCATTTACTTGATATCGTCTTTCAAGCATAATTGTAATAAACTGCCCTGAAAGGACAAATGCATACTTTTTTATATAATATAATTGAAAATTTCTTTTTTTTAAATACTTTTAATGCGGAAACCCAATTTGAATCACCCTATAGATTTAATAAGAACAACGTGGAGTGGTTGGCTCAACATTTCTTAGGAGATGAGTTTGAATACAGAGGTGGTGCTCTAACATCTACTGAGAAAATGAGATTTTTTCTTTGTTACGTTGGCGACCCGGGAATTCAAAGTGGCGTTGGTGAGGACATTGGTGTACACCAGACAACGGTATCTGTAACAGTGGCAGCAGTAATGAATAGTATAGTACGAAAATCAAATGTATGGATAAAGTTTCCATCAACCGTAGAAGCATTGCAGCAAGAGAAATATAAATGGCAAGAAAAATACAATTTCCCTCCGCTATCGGCGCAATTGATTGCACTCACATCCCTATTATTAAACCAGCAGTACATGGAGATAAATATGTCAATCGAAAGGGATTTTGTAGTCTTAACGTCCAGGTTACTTGCAACGTTCGAGAAGAGTTTATAAGTGTGGATGCATCTTGGCCGGGAGCCGTTCATGACTCGCGTATGTGCAGAAATTCCTGCAGTGGAATAGAGCTAGTGTACTTCTCCTTGGAGATTCGGATTATGGAATTACTCCATGGCTTATGACGCCATACAGAGATCCTCTTACTCCAAAGCAGATTTCGTACAATAGGTCTCGAGAACGAGTTATAATAGAAAGACGTTTTGGCCAAGTTAAACAGCGTTTCCCTATACTGCAAACCAAAGTTCGCATAAAAACAGAAAAAGTCTCATCTTTTATTTTAAACTGCTTTATTTTGCATAATGTTGCAAAGCACCTCAACGAGGAAAATTTTGAAATCTTGCAAGATCTCAACAATAATGGCGATGAAGCTGTACAGATGCCTGTAGAATATGGTGAGGAAGTTGTGCGCCAGAGAGGCCAATTAAAAAGAGACGAAATAGCAAGAATAATTCATGGTTTTCGTCCTTAGTAGTTAAGTGGTATTTGTATTTTGTATTCTATTATATATTCAGGAAACTCTCATTAACAAGACCTTCTGAAAACCTCAAGTATTTACGTTTTGTAATAGTAGTCTTGTAGAAATATAAATAATGTTTTTGATTTAGTTTGATTTATGTTAATATTTTATCACATACAGAACTCCTTGCTAAGAAATAATAATAATATTAATCAGTATTTTTTTTAGTTTCAAAAGCAAATTTTTACAAAATGATGCAATTAAGAAAAATTCGGAAAAGCATTTTTTTCCGTCTTTGCCAATTTGTGTGTTTAAGTGGACATTGCAATTTTGAATGAAAAATTATAAACATTCTTTAATTGGCGCGTTCGTTTTCGTTCAAGTTCTGGATCACGAATTGAAATAATCTGAAAATAAATTTCTTTTCCATTTTGAGGAAATTAAACGGTACCGGCAAGGACTTATGTAGGTAGGGGTATTATGATTTTCATTTATTGGTCCAATTTCAACAGCAATTAAAACAATTGTCGGAATAAATGTGTATTTTCAGTTGGACTATTTTAGTTCTTTTTAAGCAATTGAGCGGTCACGGACGCACCGATTAAAAAATGTTACTATAATTTTTTGTTCAGAATTACAATATCCACTGAAATATTAAAAAGAAGTGCGGTGTTGCAATTTAAAAAAATATTACGTTGATGGCTACTGCACAAACTAGCAATGCTGGAAAAAATATGTTCACGAATTGTTCTTGGTTGCATCATTCTATAAAATTTGAATTTGGAAACTGGGTATGTATCTACCTTTTTGAATAAAAAAAGGTAGCCTATGCCCGGTTTACAAAAAACGACATTGTTTTCTATATTATTATTGTATTTTTGGTTAAATTTCAACAACATAATGATCAAATTATTAATAATTCTTTATTTGGTCTAAATTAAAGAAAGTAGGGATCTGTGCCTCTGTTACTTCTTGAATATCGCAATTATCCTGCCGGCTATCCTGATCTTGTTTTTTCTGTAGTAGTATTTCCTTTGCAAGCCTAAAGACTTGCAGTTGTTCCAAAAGTACCAATCGTTGAAGTTCTTGTGTACTAAGGTGTCTAGTTTCATTTGTTTCTGGTAATGTTTCCTTTTGTTTTTAGTTTTTCAAGTCGCCGCTGATGTTCCAGGCAATGCAGAGCTGGAACGTGCATTCTCAAAAGACCTCGTATCGGATGTTATAAAGGACCCATTTTCTTCTAGCTGACTTTCATATTGTTCACAGTCAAGACTGACTTCTTCGGTCTCCGTCCTAGGCTCTCCTACGCCAGCAGAAATTGCTCCTAAAAAGAATATGTATTTTTAGTTACCTTAACAAAAACTAAATATATCTGAAACATAGTACATTTGCAGTATTGGGAGATACTTAACAATTTTTGTAATACGTATTATATTATGATAAGACATATATTTTTTTTGCATTCAAGAGGGAATACGCCAAAAAATTTACGCTTGAAAATAAAGGCAGCAGCGGTGCCCGCAGTAGTAGACTCTTCGGTCTCCTGATCAGTCGCCGTGCGCTGTGCGAGTTCGAGTCCCATCCCACGAGAAATTTTTCTCTTGCTATGGATGTTGTGATTGTCCGTAGGTGGCAGACGGTCTCTGTCGAACGTGGAGGTACCACCCGGCGGATCTCGTAGGCGGAGCCAGAATGTGTGCATCTTGCATGCACACGTGTTCCCTCGCCAGAGTCCGTGTGGCGTCCCCCCTTTCCCCTGTATCCCCCTATAGTCCCACGGTACCCAATGGGTGTTTAGGCCTTAGGCCTTCGTGGTAGTTGGAGTATAAAAAAAATAGAAAGCATGACCAACTTTTGACACAAATACTGACCCTATTTAACAATAGATTTTGAAAAAACAAGATTTTCTTCAAACATCCGAAAGTGTACGAAACTTAGTCAACTCTTAAGTAATTTTAATGTAAAGACGAATAATCGAATTGTTATCCTATTTTTCCAATTTGTTTTGAATGACTTAAAATTATTCGTCTTAAATAAAAATAACATTCGTACAACCACAGAAATATCCACAAGGCCTTTATAGATTTTCTTATCTCAATTAGCTTTTTTAAAATTCGTGTTAAAAAATTCGTTAAAATAAACATTTTTGCTCTGGCGCAACTCTCCTATACTCGTAGTTGTAAAAATTGCTAATTAAATACTATGCATTTTGCACACACTAGATTTACCTTTTACTCTCCCAATTGAAGGATTTATCTCTCCTTTCATATATGTAAATAATTTAGCTTTCCATCCTTCTGTTGGATCTTTAACTTTAACTTTGTTTAACTTTTTCCATATCTGTGCTTCACTCACTTCTATTCCCAATTGATCTGCTAGTCTACCTTTTATCTCCTCGATTGCATTCGCCTTTTTTCTTTTAATCTCGGGTATGTTAGACTTTTCCAGAAGTACGGGAAATTTTTCAATAATTCTAACAAAACTTAACATTTCCCGTTGGCGTTGGTATCCTCTTCTGTATCCATTGTTGTAAAATATACTCACTGATAGGACCTAGGACAATCGCACTAAATACCGGGATTCCTGCACGCATATTATAAAAAACCTGTCGAGACTCGCAAATATCCACAGCGCCATCGGTATTAATTGGAGCACGTACTCACAAAGCCGAAGCAGGTGCTACATTTTTACATCAACATTTTATTTACCAAATGTAAGTACATGCTCACTTTTTTAGCAACTACTCAATTTCTTCTTAAGCACGTACTAAGAGCATGTACTCACGTTTTATTAATACGACTATGAGGATTAGACATAGGAGGCTAAGCTCATGGAGTGGAGGTGAACTCAAAAATGTCGACGATGAAAGTAGTTAGTACACTGAGCAGCAAATGAATTTCAGGTGGTGCGCTTAGTGTGCGTCCATACTGAATGCGCGGTGACTGGGGGCAAAGGCGGGCGCAGCGAGCGGCGGCGTGTGGTGTCCAACTGTCCACAGTGACACGCGAGTTCTTGTACTGGTTCGACGTATTGGTATGGTAAATAAAACCAGAGAAACGACTGTTGAGCTTTTTCAGTTATACAGGTATGATGAACTGAGATTATACCCTATCAAATTTTTTGAGTACACTCGAATGCCCGTTTGACTATATCCTAAGTAAAATATCTGTGCTGCGGATGTTTACTTTGCCAAATAGGTGGTTTAGATTAAATTGCACTTATAAACAATTCAGTATCCGCCATTACAATACAATAACGCCTACCAACAACACTGAACGGCTTGTTACCGCCACCACCGCGCGTTAGGTCGCTTGCTGATTAGGCCCGTAGCGTGGCCTGAAAGCGGGGAACAGGAACGTCTGAAAACTACGGGCGCTGTCTCGCTAGGTCCCGCCGCCCTAGGCTTCTGCCTCAGTCTCTACACTATGGACGTAAAGGCGGGTTTCTTAAATGTTTGATATTTCGCGCCCGTCGTAGCTACTGCGCTAGGCTCGCAGTATGGATGCACACTAGGGTATTCGAATCTTCACTGCCCAGAAAATGAATGTGGTATCTCTCTTTCTCAGTGTTGATGTCATGATGACTGTAATCAACTCCAATTTTGACAGTGCGGACGAGCTGCAAGCAGAAATATTGGATAATATTAGTAAACCATGAAGTAATAAACCTACAAAGCGTTACAAAAGGTGAGTAAAATGTACATACAGATTGTGGCATATCTTGTAGGCATATTTCAATGCGCACAACATGCTCTACGCCATGTCCTACGCCCACTAGAGCTACACAATCCTTGCCGACAGGAATGGCTTCACACGAATACGTGTATCTCTTATACAGTTTAGCCTCATAGTCTTCTACCGTTCATTCATGATTGTATATTTTTTGTTCATTTTCCATCATTGTTTGGTGATCAGCGGGCAGATTCGATTGGCTAGGAAGATGAAATGACTACCGCGGTGGGAAAAATGACATTTCAAACAGTGGCGTATGTATCATAATGAAATTCCTACCGCACTGGTATCAGCATATTTTTGGAAACTGATGATGTCTCGCGAATCCCAAACGATATACCCTTATGGATCTTGTTGTAGGTTCAGTAGACATTATAAAAGAATAGTGGATGTGGAAGTCTACATGTTTACAGAGGCAAATTTGCGTCGAAACTTTTGAATTCTTTATTTAAACTTATGCCAAAAATAGTTTTTTCCGCTCCGGTCAAAATGCTATTAGATTTTGACTAAAATGTGCCATAGAACTATCCTGAAGTTTATAGCTCCCGAGATAGAAGCGATACATTATTTCAAGAAAGTGCTAAATGCTATTTTCGACCACCAAAAACAACGTGGAAAACGAACGACACCAGTGTTCCTAAATATTCTTCAAACAATCATAATCCCAAAGCATCTGAGGAGGTATTATTATTGTAAACCTTTGTATTTTAATTGTTAAACAAGCGCGCGTTTAGTAAATACTCTGGGTGCGTACGAGAGATGCAACACGTACGGCCGCCAGTCGCGGTGGAGAACGATTGAGCGCGTGCTCGATTAACAATTAAAAACAAAATGTTTACATTAACAACACGACCTGAAATGCTTTGGGATTATGTTAATGGATGAATATCTAGATAAAGCCTTGTAGTTGTACAAAATTGGTCCAGTAGCGGCAGTGAAAAAGGCCTAAAACGAAAAATCGCTCTATTTTTTTAACGTTTCAGAGGATCCTGATCATAAAAAAAATAAGAGGTAAATGAACTTTGGGTGGGGGTTATAGGAGGGCGACGAGGATTTATCTCAATTGTTTGATGGTAGAACATTTATACGCTCGCAACATTGGTAATTCTACGCACCTATTAGACATATTTCACAGATCATAGATTTCTCTGTGCCCTTGAAACAAAAATATTCACAGCAGACGGATCGCGTACCTACCGCTTCTGCTGGCGTCGTGCCGCTGGCCTTGATGATTATTCTGGTATGGTATCACACGTATTTCTGCCGCGCCACAGCTTATTGTCTCCTGTGCTCTGACAGCGCTGCCACGGTGCCACTTCTCACCGAGTTAAGTATCGGGTAGAGGTGACGTTTCCAGATGCACTACCGGTAGGGCAGGGAAAACATGTCTGTGGAATAATTGTATGGACATGCTGACTGTCATTTTTCTCAGTGGGTATATTTTTTACTGAACACAATCCCTTTATGAACTGATAAGGTCATTGAGTGGGAAGATTCAACCTACTTGACGCCATTTTTTCATATTATTTTTCGAGGTTGTAAATGGCGTATGTCGCACTCTTTGAAATATTGTATCGCTTATATCTCGAAAACTATCAACTTTGGAAAAAAGTTTGGAATTTGTTTAAAAAACAAATTTTTGCCGCAAAATTGGGCCCTTTTTGAATAAGATTATACACAATAATAAAAAAAAAATAATCCGAATCAGACTACGTTTCCATCAAATGCGAAGATATAGCCCCGAGTAAGAATGTCTTGGCTGCCAAGGATCCTCATATTTTGTCTGGCACTGTACGTCGCGAAATTTCTTTACATTACTCGAAATGATTCATTCTTATTACCAGATTGATATTCAACGCCAATATTCATGACTCATAGAGCTCGTTAGTATTTTAACGCGTTGCTGCTTCTATACCTTACGATGGACCGTTATTCAAGCAAGGCTCGTTAGCTCAGTGGTTAGAGCGGCACACTTACACTCTTGATCGTGGCGGTCGTAGGTTCGAATCCTACATGAGCCCTGTTTTTTCCTCTATTTCAGCCACAATGATGTAATTCCAATTATTGCAGAATTGACAATACAAATAGTTTAATGGAGAAAATTGGCTTTATACATTTTTTATTGGGACTTTTTCCTTTATTGACATTTTAAACATTTAGTTTAATTAGTCGATATTGTGTTTGCACCAAAGTAATCATAGTTAAGGCTGGTTTAATACAAAGACAGTTATTTTAAACTAATGTTACATTATACTTTCATCCTCTTGAGTCTTCAATTGTTTTTTGATGTGTTAAATATCGCTTATTAATCAGGTTTTCAAATTTTCGATGTTTTCGATACATCAATGTATCGTCTATCGTCGCCATCCCTATATTGTATCCCCACCAGTCACCAGTCAAAAACCTTAGCCACCAATATTTTATCACTATTTATAATTATTTTTAGCTCTTAATTTTCAGAATTTACTAATAATTTTAGGTCTATGTCTACAGTAATTGCATTATGCACCTCGGAGATGTAGGGATTAACATGTTTTACATATATCGGTGTTTTAGGATGGGGACGACCATACTGTTTTGATTGCTTTGAAGAAATTCATTAACCCATGAATTTATAACAAATGATTACTATTACATATGATGTAAAGAGAGATGAGGAATTGGTTGGAATACATTTTATATTCTATTTTCTAGCAAATCCGCACAATTCAACAGGTATGTGTAGCTATAATGATCACATATACACACAGTATATTGAACTTAACAAATTTCGAGATTGCCATGAATTAACAAACGACCAAACCTGCTGCCAAATTTAACAGCTAGAAAATCGACCTATTATTTCTCCCATTCCCATTCGCTGAGTGGATAACGGATGGTCAAATGTACACCTATAACATAAATCAAAATACATGAAAGTTGTCATGTTTTCTCTGTACAAAAGCATGTTGGAATCAAAAAGTGGTCTTGTTTATAATACAGTCGAATTTTCACGATTTTATTCAACATTTTAATAGAAATTGGTACATAATATTAATGTTGGTGAATTCGGCCCTCAAAGTTGTAAACTATAAAGCCATTTAGACAAAAATCTATTGACTTTTGGACCATGGGTCATATGAACTTTTTGACTTGTTTTGACCCCTCCTATTAGCCATTTCAATAATGACTACCATAAAGTTTACACCCTGTATAGTAAGTGACTTGGAAAGAAGAACACCCAGTGATAATGGATTCGTTACAAATATTTTCGAGGAATATTTTTGTTCAGGTTAGGACAAAAAACAATCAGCTTCAACCATATTGATAGAGTGGTTTTTGTGATTGCGCTTGTTATTACAAAAGGAGTAAGTAACCGACAGTTGTGTTTTGTAGCTAAATTTGGCAACTAATAATCGTATAAAAGGTTGTGAAAACTGCTTTAACCTGTTCATTACGCCATGAGTGAAAAGACGAGAGAATTTTCAACAGCTTAGTGAGTTTGCTTGGGGGCGAATAATGGGCTTGTGTGAGGTGGGCTGGTCCTTCGCCACCAAGATGCACAAAAGACCGTTTACGGCGGTATTTTCTTGCATGCCATGGAATCAGGAGGTCCTTACATGAAGTGATAGAGATACTGGACTTGTCACAAGATCGCCGCTTAAGGCTTTTGGATCTATCGGAGCGCCTTTTGCTCACAAGGTCAATAGGGGACCAATGGTTTGGAGATCATGGGGAGGCTACTTCAATGCGAATTGTTTATCGCCGGATGAACAGCTTTGGACTTTCACTGCATGCCGTCCTCAGGTTTGTCCTACCTCTCACACCTAAGCGCCGAAATGGCCGATTAGCTTGGTGCAGAGAACGGCTGAACTGGGACCCTCGAATGGAATACCTACCATTATCTTCATTGATGAATCCATATTCTGTTTGGGACGCATAATGGGCGTGCAAGGGTGAGAAGGCGACGAGATTAAAGAGGAGATTCTTAATTTTCAATGGAAACGCATGTGCACCAGACTGTAGGTATCGGGGGATATCAAGGCACTCAGCTCAAAACTGAAGGGAGGCACCTTTTAAAAAATATTCCGTGAAAATTCCATAAATTATATCTACATAACTATGCTTGATTTTTCTTTATATTTCATTTATATAGTCTTCCCCGACGATTTGGCAATTCATATGGGCATGGAAAACCTGTAGGACTACCTTGTTAAACATTCAAACAAGCCAAATGCGAACCCTGTTGTAAAAGAGATTGAAATTCTTTAGGGTGAATGCAAAGGGCCCTCATCTCGAAATAAAAGATTCTGGGTAACTTTTTATTGACAAACTTCAGAGTTATAGGTCTACGGGCATAGAAGTATTGGGAAAGAGATGAAAACATCTTCAAGATGGGTACATCCAGTTCGTTGCAATAGTTGTTGGTGATGGTTATTGCAAAAAATCGTTTCTTGCCGACATGAGTAAGAGTAAATATGAAATAGAAGCCAAAAGTTAAAGCATTTGTAGTGACTGACATAGAAAAAATCTTCAAAAATGCTCATGATGTTCAGCGACATAACTGCTGCAACAAAGTAGCCACAGCGTGAGTTCTTATTATCTAATTGGACAATATCTCCTTTACTCTAAAACATAATTAAACATGTTATTTACAAAAACTGTGGACTATACGCTTCCTACTTAGAATATACCGCGCCCTACAGGGTAATTCATACCCACATGACAACAAAAACGATTTTTTTTAAATTGATTTTGAATTTTTTAAATGATGTAGGTACCTACTTACTCTAGAATGATTTGAAAAACAAATTTATCGTAACTTCACGATTGTGATCTCTGAAACGAATATGGATCGGCAAAGTTGCTTAATTTCCTATTTTATTTGGCCCTTTGTACAACTAATTAGTTCGTAATTGCTATTACATTCTTTTCTTTTGTGTGGGTGGTCCAAGCAAAACAAGTTCCTACTATCATCTCGGGGATTTGTGGCTTAAGCCGTCTTGAGTCACTGGAGCTCTTAACCCCCTACTCTCCACTTTACTGAGCTAGGGCCTAAATTTGCTCGCCACTATACAGCTGTTTTGCAAAAATAGGCAAGACGAATCACACCACTTCTTCCTCTTATTTATAAACAAAGGCGTGGCAACATAATATAACTCATTTATGGTATATTATTTAAGGGTAATCATAAATATATAGAAAGCTAAGAGCTGAAATTCTAATTATGAAACTGTGAAAAAGAGAAAAAGTGGTAATTTTATTCTGTAATAGGTATGTTTAAAACGTTTAGAGAATGCGAATGTTTGAAAAGTTTTGTTTCGAACTAAGGCGAAAAAATAAAAACGATTTTGAGTAAATTTGGAAATACTTTGAATTTACAAACTGTCCAAATTCCATTTTTCTATTTGCCTAAGTAACTTGTCCCCATAAAGTACCCATGGTCGAATATCTATTTATGATGAGATGTGATATTTATTGATCGTGTAGCTTGGACGTCAGTAATTATTGCATAATGTTACGCAGAAGTCCACTGATGGTACAACCCAAAGTAATTACTGATCGTGTGGCATTCGCTTTACCGTTTCCGAAATTTTAAAGGCGAGATTCGGATTTGAAACACAGGTAACACATATAGTACTTTTAGCAAAATTAGTTTTATATCTAACATAGATTTTAACTAATCCCAGTAATTTCTCATCTAATAGATACTGGTTCAGCTTGTAAATGAAAAATTTAATTTTTGAAAAACATGTTCGCTCCGTTTAGTTTTTGCCGAGCTAGGTAAAAGGGCGGCAGCTGCCCCTTGCTCCCGTCGTGGGATATTGCTTGTAGAAGGAGGTCATAGGCCAGAAGCAATGTAACTGCCGTGCATTACATTCAGGAGGTGAAGGAACCACGAGTTTCGCCTTATATACGGACGCCCATCAATCCATCTTTCCAACAATATAATGGTCGACCACATATAACCAAAATTATTACGTTGGTCCATTTTGGAGACAGACAATCAAGTCGATTTGTTGCCCTGGTCCCTAGATCTACGGATCTGTCACCCATTGAACACGTCTGGGAGATTCTGGGAAGATATTACTCCATTTACCCCATCCTCCACAGACTCAAGCGTACTTCGGAACGAGGTACAAGTACCCTGAGATGAGATACCTCAAGAGAAAATCTAGCGTCTGATTAGGAGTGTGCTTACACATGTTGATAAGTGCATAAGACATTGTTAAGGCCCAGCAATTTATTAAGTTTTTAGATTTTTCCAGAATTTTTCATCAATTACTGAAAGATATGCATCAAAAAAATTTGTAATAAATTCATTTTAACTGGGTGCTCTGTTTTCTATTTCAGTTAGTATTAACCTTCTGTTATTAGCATGTCTGATACCTACGGCTTTCTTAAAGACAACTGTGAAATAGCATAATATAAGAAACCATTGGTTTCGTGAATTTTCTCTACAAAACCTCCGCTCGCCAGACATACCATTATCCTGCCGACAGCTCTGTTTAGAAAGACATTAAGGCTTAGCGTGTTTAGTCGAAATATCCAACGTCCGATATTTTTTCAACGTCTGTCCTACAAAATTTGTGGCGTACTCTTAACACCTGCCCGGAGAACGTAACAAAGGTCTAAACCCAGTGTCCGTATCCTTTCGTGCCCTACCCAGTAATTTAGATAATTGCCCTTTCTAATAACTCTATCAAGCAGCGGCTAGAAGGCTAGCGATTTTTTTGTTTGAGGGTCGGCAATAGAGCGTGGTATTTAAGATATCAGAGGCTTTGCGATTGTTGTACATTGTGAAGCCAAAATGAAAGTTGAAATTTAATTGCGCTTCCGCGCACTTTTGGCAATTAGTCTAATCATATTAGACGAGGCGGAAGAACCAGAAGTTACAATTTACAAAAACCAGCAATTGCATTTGAAACGAACCAGCACTAATTCCAAATGGCTCAATGTTGATCTCATTTATACTTGTGTTGAGAGGATTTACTATGCACTGGAGAGCCGCAACTTGACATCAAAAGAGCCGCATGCTCGC